CACCAAAACAGACCCTGTCGAGGGTATACCAAGGACCTAACGAGTCCCTGAAAGACTGGATAGCCCGGTTCGGGGAACAGGTCGCCGCCACGGAGGGAATATCCGACGAGGTAGCCCTGATGGGGGCACTGTCGAGCATGAAGAAGGATATCCCCTACAGCACGGACCTCGACCAGAGACCGCCCCATACCTACCAGGAATTCCTGACAAGGGCACAGGGATTCATCAACGCCGAAGAGGCTAAGAAAGCCTTGAAGAGTAAGGCGGCAACCCCTGTCAAGGAAGAGGCAGGGCAGGCGAACAATCAGAAAAACGGTAAGAAGCACCGAGGTCACCCTCAGGTGCAAGCCAAGCAGAGGTATAAGCCCGCTCCAAGCAGCAGGGGCGGCAACGCCTCAACGAGCCAAGGGGAAAACAAACGACCAAAGCCGCAAAGGTACGACGCCTATACCCCCTTGACTATGGGGATCGAGGACGTCTATCACGAGATCAGTCACCTCCAGGTCCTGCGTCGACCACCGCCGCTAAAGTCTGACCCAGCGCGGAGAAACCAACACAAGTATTGTCAGTTTCACGGCGAGAGTGGGCACACTACGGCCGAATGCTATGACCTGAGGGACGAGGTCGAGAGATTGATCCGAGAAAGTGAGTATCGAGCCGGCTGTCGGAACAACAACAACCGACGCAACAACGACCGACGGGAGGAGCAGAGGCACGACAATCTGCCCGAACTCATCGGCGTTATAAGAACGATATTTGGGGGACCGTACTTCGGCGGCACCTCTCATCGCGCACAGAAGGATTACGCGCGAGAGGCAAAGGAAAAGTTCAGACGGAGGGTCATGAACGTCTCTGGACGGGAGGCCAAGACAGCGCAATACGAGGACAACGACAACGACAGTTCGGTGGACATTTTGTACTCCGATTTCCTTGACAAGATGGGAATCCCCCGCGCAAGGCTGCAAAACAGAGCACAGCCCTTGTATGGCTTCACCGGGGACAGCGTCATCCCTAAAGGGGCAATAGAGCTGCCCATGACCATTGGAGACTGACCACACACCTCGACTGTCATGTCAAAGTTCTTGGTGGTGAAGGGAGGCGACCAATACAACGCGGTCATAGGGCGCCCGACGCTGAGGGCAATGAAGGCGGCCACATCCATCTATCACCAAACCATGAAGTTCCCGACTCCCACTGGGATTGGAAGGGTTCGCGAAAACCAGTACGAGTCGAGGCTTACGTATTCGGAGACAGTATGCCACTATGCCGAGCCGACACAGGTACGAAGAGAACTGAGGATGGTGGAGACCAGAGCAGAAGGGTTCAACCTGGATCTGAGGCTCCCAGCGGAAGAGCCTGGAACGGGACCGGTCGAGGAATTGACCGAAGTCCCCATCGATGAAAGAGAGCCTTCAAGGAGGCTGAAGGTGGGCTCGGGGCTAGAGGGGCAGACCCGTGAAGGACTGGTTGAATTCCTCAGAAGCAACCTTGATGTGTTCGCCTGGACGCACGAAGATATGGAAGGGATAAACTCTGATATAATGTGTCACAGGTTGAACATCGACAAAAAGTGCCCGCCTAAAAGACAAAAGCGTCGACCCATGAACGCGGAATGGTACGAGGCCCTGCGGGCAGAAGTCGACAAGCTGATTATGAGCAACTTCATCTGAGAAGTCCTATACCCCGAATAGGTGTCAAATCCTGTGTTGGTGTGGAAACCCAATGGGGATTGGCGAACATGCGTTGACTTCAGTGATCTGAACAAAGCATGTCCCAAGGACAGCTTCCCACTGCCCAGAATTGATCAGATGGTCGATGCCACAGCGGGACACGAACTACTGAGCTTCATGGATGCATACTCCGGGTACAACCAGAGACGAAGAGCACACGGCGTTCGTCACCGACAGGGGTCTCTACTGTTACAAAGTCATGCCCTTCGGTCTAAAAAATGCAGGAGCGACTTATCAACACCTCGTCAATAAAATGTTCACGGGACAATTAGGAAAATCAATGGAGGTATACGTGGACGATATGTTGGTAAGAGTAGGAAAGTGGAGGACCACGTCGAGGACCTCAGGAGAATGTTCGGCGTCTTCAGAACGTACAAAATGAAGCTAAATCCCTACAAGTGTCCGTTTGGCGTTGCGTCAGTTGAATTCTTGGGTTTCATGGTGAGTAGTCGAGGAATTGAGGCCGATCCGGGAAAGATACATGCCTTCCTCGACATGAAATCGCCAAGGAAGCCCAAGGAAGTCGATAAGCTGACAGGCTGTGTGGCCGCGCTTAACAGGTTTATTTCAAAGTCTACGGATAAGTGTGTGTCATTCTTCGACACCCTAAGAGGAAGCAAACCATTCCAATGGACGGAGGAGTACGAACAGGCGTTCCTGCAATTGAAGGAACATATTGGGAAACCGCCTCTGCTGCCCAAACCGGTGACCGGAGAGGTACTGAGCTATCTGGCGGTCTCAGAACACGCCGTTAGCTCGGTGTTGATTCACGAAGAGAATAAGATGCAATTGCTAGTGTATTACATGAGCAAGTGCTTGCTCGACGCTGAGACGAGGTATCCCCAGATGGAAAAGCTCGCCCTCGCGCTGGTTGTGACAGCGAGAAAGTTGCGCCACTACTTCCAGGCCCATAGTATTCAGGTCTTGACCAATCATCTTCTCAGGCAAGTGTTACAAAAGCCCGACGCTTCTGGTCGACTTCTAATATGGTCCATAGAGCTCAGCCAATTTGATATCGACTACAAACCGCGGGCTGCCATTAAAGGCCAAGCCCCGGCAGACTTTGTGGCAAAATTCGCGGGGTTGCCGGATGGAGCCGAGGAGGCTAATGCACCACCACGATGGAAGCTTTACGTCGACGGGAGCTCCAATGAAAACGGCAGTGGAGCAGGATGGTATTGCATACACCTGAGGGACACAAGATCATTTCGGCCATTAGGTTTGAATTCCCCGCGTCCAATAGCGAAGCTGAATACGAGGCGCTGTTGGCCGGACTACGGTTAGCGGAGCACTTAAAAGTAGGGAGCTTAGATATCTTTAGTGATTCACAACTGATTGTGAACCAAGTAAAGAGCCAGTACCAAACCCGGGATGAGAAAATGGTCGCCTATCTAAAGAAGGTCAAAGAGGCCCTGGGGAAGTTCATGGCCTATAATATACAGTAAGTGCTGAGAGCAAAGAATAGCAATGTCGACGCTCTCGTCAGGTTGGCGACGTCGAAAGATGCTGAGCTCTTGAACTTAGTACCCGTAGAAGTCTTAAAAGCCCCGACCACAGTAAAGAGGCCTGAGGTCATGTCAGTGGACCGCCAGCCAAGCTGGATGGACCCGATCATCCGATACTTGGTCGACGGCGAACTCCCCGAGGACAGGCATCATGCAAAAAAGATGAAGTATCAAGCGGTGAGATACACAATGCACGATGATCTTCTTTATCGAATGGGGTACTCGACGCCCCTGCTCAGGTGCCTCAGCGAGGGAGAATCAAATAGGGTGCTCTCGGAGGTGCACGATGGGATATGCGGAAACCACGTAGGGGGACAGTCCCTAGCCTACAAAATACTACAACAGGGATACTATTGGCCAAGTCTCAAGAAGGATGCAGCCGAGTATGCGAAGAAGTGTGAAAGCTGCCAAAGGTACGCCCCAACCCCTCGACTGCACTCAGAGGGCCTCACATCGATAGTGTCTCCCTGGCCTTTCGCTAAATGGGGGATTGACCTTATTGGCCCCCTGCACAAAACCCCCGGAGGGTATAAGTTCGCCATTGTCGCCGTCGACTACTTCAACAAATGGGTGGAAGCCGAGCCACTAACGACTATCTCAGAGGAGAAATGCACTAACTTCATATGGAACAACATAGTTTGCAGGTTTGGTGTACCGCATTCTCTCGTGTCCGACAACGGGAGACAGTTCAACAACGACAACACCAATCAATTTTGTGAACTATTGGGAATTCATAAGAACTTCTTCTCTGTTGTGTACCCACAGTTCAACGGGCAGGTCGAGGCGGTCAACAAAATTATAAATTTAACGCTTAAACGAAGGCTCGACGCCTATAAAGGAAAATGGGCAGACGAGCTGCCGAAAGTCCTGTGGGCCTATAGAACAACGAATAGGACCACTACGGGGGAAACCCCCTTCTCAATAGCCTATGGAGCCGAAGCAGTTCTCCTTGTGAAGGTCTTTATCCCGACTTACCGAGTATCTCGATACGAGGAAGGCAGGAACGCTGAGCTGATGAACTGGAGCTCGACCTTCTGGAAGAAAGACGCACAGATGCATAGCTAAGGCTCACCGCGTACCAAGCCAGAACTGCTAGGTACTACAACAAAAAAGTCCACCCGAAACGCTTCAGGGTTGGAGATCTGGTCCTGCGGGTGGTAACCCCAAACACCAAGCCCAAGAACTCTGGTGCCTTGGGGCCGACTTAGGAAGGACCCTACAGAATAAAGGAAGTTGTGGCCAACGGGTCTTATCGACT